CCCCAAAACCCCAAAACCCCAAAACCCCATAATGATTTATATGATGATATTTGAACAAATGATATTTAAAATGATTAAAATATTCATCATAATATTATTTTAATAAACTTAATTCTTAAATTATGCTTTTCTTAAATTAAAAGTAATTTTATAAGAAAATTATAAATCAAAATGACTACAGCTTTCATTATGCTTGTAAGAGAATTATCCTTATTTATCATATACTAGTAAATGCAAAACAATGATACAGAACCATATAGCAGTGCCAGGGGGTACAAAAGAAAATTCACAAAACCAACTGATGCAAATCTACCACCAGTCATTACTTAAGGAGATTAGAAGCAACAAATGGACGCAGATGATTTAGAAATTTTGAATGGTGAAGAATAATATAAATTTCAAGTGTAAAATCTGCATGCTTTCTAATGTAATTTTGTATTAGAACAGAGGCATATGATCATCTTATAACAGAAATTAAGTCAGGGGAAAATGAACTGCTTAAAAAAGACAAAATAGATGAAAATTTGAAAAATAAAGTTATGGAAGAAGCTAAGGCAATGAAAAAATGAGATTAGTAGCAAGTAATTAAGAATAGAAAAGAATGGCTTCTTGGTTTGAATGATCCTTTCAAGTCTAAATGGGATATATTCATTATTATTCTTGCTATCTTCAACTGCTTTACTATCCCCTATGGAGTCGCATTTTAACCACCTTCATTTAATGAGTGGTATTTTACCTTTGTCAATTATATGATTGACCTTGTATTCTTGTGCGATCTTGTTATAAATTGCAGAACAACTTATATTAATCCAAAGACAGGCGAGGAAGTTAAGACACCCAAAAAGATCTTTACAGAACAACTTAAGGGAAGATTTTGGATAGATTTATTAGCATCTATTCCATTAGATGAAGTTATGTCTGTAAGAAATTTTAATATTTATTTTACTCTTAATAATAGGAAGTAAGCGCTATTGATTCAAGTTTTTTGTCAACTTTTGGTATTCTTAAACTTGGGAGAGTCTTGAGACTCAATCGTATAATCACATAACTAAATGTTGGTGAAAACACAAAAGCAGTAAGATTAAGTTTAAAGATTTTTATTTATTAGCTTCTTAAACTATTCAAACTCTTTTTCTTTTTGATGGTATATGTCCACTGCTTTGCATGTCTCTGGTGGTACATTGTAAAATATGATAAATCATGGATTCCTTATGTATCTACTCTTTAGAATTCAGATAGCTATGCTATCTATTATTCAGATATTACTACTTAGTATTTAGTATCGTTGCATGCAGCAGTTATATTGATTACAGGAAATGATATATTACCTAGAACTATGATTCAAGGTAAGTAAATAAGTTTTAAACTCAATTCTTTAGTTATGCTATGCGGTATTGGGACATTTATGGGAGCAGTTATTAACGCAAATATTTTTGGAGAGCTTGCAGTACTAATAACAATGCTAACCATAAAAGAGTAATAGTTTTAATGGAAGGTAGACTAAATTAACACAGCGATGAAAAATATTAAACTTCCGAAGATGATGCAGTTTAAAATCAAGGATTACATTTATTCAACTCAAGCTTCGAAGGAAAACTAATATGAGCTTGATAACTTCCTAACAACACTGTCTCCAAGTATAAGGTACAACGTATTAGTTCATGAATTTGCTAAGATTATCAGTACAATAGATGCTTTTAAAGGTGAAAATGATTTGGTTTAAAAAGTAGTATCAAAGTTGCAAATATTAATGTGCTTTCCTGAAGATGAAATTATAAAATAAGGGGATGACGGAATGAACCTTTATTTTCTAGAAAAAGGATCAGTTCTTGTATACAGGGAAAATTATGAGCATGTAAGAAGATTTGTGAAAGAACTCAAGATTGGATCAATGTTTGGAGAAATTTCAATGGTTTACAATTGCAAAAGAACAGCAAGTGTGATTTCTAAGAATTACTGTACTTGCTCAAATCTTGATAAAAGTGACTTTGAAGATATTCTCAAGCAATATCCACATATTGGCTAAATATTGAAAGAAGGAATTAATAAGCAATACCCTGATAAGCTAAGAGATTATTTTTAAACAATCATGAAGAGAGTAGAATACTTTGAAGAAGTATCAGATGATCTTTTGTCAGAGATTTTCTACACAAGTAGGAAGGAGAGCTTTGGATTTGAATAAGAAATATTTAAGGTTGGCTAATAATGCAACTATCTATATGTTATCATGGCTGGAGTGGTTGAAATTTATCTTGATGATGGTAAAGAACCTCTATTTATGGACACACTTGGCAGAGGTTCAATAATTGGAATGTATAACATGCTTAAAGAGGAGCAATACTCTTATTCAGCAAGAGCTGCTTATTCTAAAGGAACTGTGATTCTAGCTATTTCTATTGAGACCATTCAGTTAGTTAGAAAACTCAAGACTGAATTCGATAGAAAATTGAACCTTATTGAAGAAAATCTTGAGAAAAATGGCCTACCTTAGATAGACTATCTGATATTCAATGACAGATCAATTTTTCCCCTACCTGATCCTCCAAAAACAGGCAGAAAAACTCTAGCTGAGACAATGGTATAGTTCAGAAAAGCTATACGAAGAGTTTAATTACTAAATTATTAACAGAAAAGAAAAGGTGGTTTTATGCATTCGCTTTTGTTTGAACTTTAATCAATATAAAAGATCTAGAATTCTAAAGGAATTTCATGGGTGGAGGATACAATTAAGCATCTTGATTACTCCAAAGTCATTGATTAGAAAATGTTAGGTTAACTTGAAGAAGACGTTAATCATATGAAAAGAATTGTACATATTTAGAATGATAAATTAGATCAAATAGAGTATCTAATGTAATTAGTTGACTATGAAGCAGAATTTAACAATGATATGAGAATGTTTGAATAGGTTAAATAGATCCTTGGGTTTAAAAATGATAACATGCCAACAATATCATCTGGATTTCTTTGAAATGGGTTACTATTGATATGATAATTTAACTATAAAATTTAATCTTAATTTCATAATTTAAAAAAATTATATGCATATAAACTCAATAACTGTGGGGGTTTTGGGGTTTTGGGG